CTACCACAAAAGAAACCCCTTTTCGATTAACCTATGGTACTGATGCCATGGTACCGGTTGAGATTGGAGAACCATCTTTTCGAAGGAAGAACTTGGAGGAATCGGCCAATGGTGAATCCCTAGCTATCAACTTAGACTTGCTAGATGAAGTGCGCGGCCAAGCGGCAATAATGACCGAAGCTAGCAGAATAATGATGGCTAGGAAGTTTAATTCTAAAATCAACCCAAGACAATTTTTTGAGAATGATTTGGTATGGCGAGTAACCGGAGATGCACGACGAGACCGATAAGAAGGGAAGTTGGCGGCTAACTGGGAAGGACCCTTTCGGGTATCGGCAAGATTAGACAATGGAGCATACAAATTAGAGACATTAGAAGGAAAGCTTATACCAAGAACTTGAAATGTTACACATTTGAAGCATTACTTTAGTTAAAAGGCTTGTAATTTGTAATCGGTGTACTCTTTTCCTCGCCCAGGTTTTGTCCTCTTAAAAGAAAGTAAAAAGGGGTTTTCCTGGGAAGGTTTTTAACGAGGCACCTTATCAATAAAATACTCTTCCTCAGTTGTGGATTTAATGCGTCAAGATTTCTTTCAAGCAATTCATTAGAAATATCTAATTTCTTTCCCGATTACCCCTACTCAGCTAAGGATGAATCATTATTATAATTCCCTCCCGAGTACCCCTACGCGGCTAAGGATGAATCATTATTATGATTCCCTCCCAAGTACCCTACTCAACTAAGGATAAATCGTTATTATACTTCCCTCCCAAGTACCCCTACTCGGCTAAGGATGAATCATTATTATGATTCCCTCCCGAGTACCCTACTCAACTAAGGATGAATCATTATTATACTTCCCTCCCGAGTACCCTTACTCGGCTAAGGATGAATCGTTATTATAATTCCCTCCCGAGTACCCCTACTCGATCAAGGATGAATAATCATTAACAAAATCCCTCCCGAGTACCCATACTCGGCCAAGGACGAATCATTACTTACATTCACTTATTTGGTCAAGGTTAAATCAGTTAATTCCCTCCCGAGTACCACTAGTCGATTAATGATGAATAGTTATTATAATTCCCTCACGTACTTCTCTTTGAATAAGCTTTAATTAACAAATTCGTTCCCAAGTACCCCTACTCGGCCAACTAATATGATAAACAGCATTATTCAACGTTAAAGAAATTTTATTAAAAAGAACTCGGCAAGGAAAGAATTGAAATTGTATTCATGTTTAGAAAAAAAGGGTTGACTACAAAATTTGGGCGCTATCGGCCCCTGAATACAAAGAAAATCAAAAACCTATTCCTAATTTCCCTCATCTCCACCATCGGGACCAGGGCCTCAGGACCTGGAGCTTCAGGATAAGGGGCTTCGGGACCGAGAATGCTATCATCAGCTTCATTTCGGATGAGGGCTTCGACATCAAGTTCCATATCCTCATCAACCTCATCGTACAATAGGAACCTGCCACCGAAAAAGTCCTTCGTTAGATCAAAATGGAAGTTAGGAGGCACTTGGCAGAATCCATAGCATTGGCGAATAGCCTTATTGAAACCAGACTCATGTTCAAAGGCAACTTGTTCAGAACACTTGTCGGCAAAGGCTCTCAGGTCCGCCTCCGCTTTTTGCTTTTCAAGAGCCAAGGCTGCTTCCATTTCAGCAGATTTAGCTTTTAAAGCCTCAATCTCCAAAGACTTTGCTTTCAAAGCCGCCTCCATCTCCGACGATTTAACCCTTAACGCCTCGTCCATTTCCTCCTGTTTAGCCCTTAACGCGTGCTCGGTTGACCGAAGCCGACTCTCGACTATGTGATAGTGCTCCTTATACTGAGTGACCTCGGCCTCCAACAATTGCATGGTCTTGGTAAGGTTTGACTGAGTATCTTTGCTTTCAGTGAGAGCCTGTTGAGAAGCCGAGTATGCCTTCTGGACATTCTTCAATTCAAGTATAGGGTCCACGATCAGTCTTCGGAGCATAGTCGTAGATCGTACTTGCAGTTCCACATAGCACCGCCATAAAGCCTCCAGGTCCAGGTTGTTAACCACCTCTTTCCTCAAGTCAGAAAGTAGGTCAGGGGCAGCCAACCGGCTGGCATGAACCCCGGGAGAGAGGAAGGAGTCAGACAAAACAACCAAGGGGATCCCACTATTCAAAGAACTGCTGGCCACAGCCATCACAGAACTCTGACCTTGTTTGTGTGCCCCTTCAGCAGCATTCGACTGAACCGAATGGCTGTGTTTCCTCTTCTTCTCTCTCTCCGTTTCTTTCTCTTTACCCTTTTCTTTCCCCTTGCCTTTGTCTTTGTGCTTTTTGGGTTGATTATCTGCAATGACAAGGTCTCGGGGAGGTGGTCAGGGCTCGGCCACCTCAGGAACATGATCCAGTTGAGGGTTTCGGTGCTCCTCAATAAGTGTGTTTTCGGGTGCCTTGGACTTCAAGGTTTTGCGATATGTCGGCACATGAACACCGCGTTGAGCCATTAAACCTACAATAAAAGTGGAGAGTCAAATCAATACAACTTAATTCAAAAAATTAAACCATAAGGACGGAACATACCATCCATGTCCAGGAGAGGTTGAGGAGATTTTAATACTAAGAGTATGTGTCGGGCAGGAAGCTCTCGGGGAAGAGACTTCAAATAATCCAAAGCCGATAACTCCCTAGCCGACAACAAATCCTCAGGAATCCAGTCGTATCGGCGAGGCACCCGGGTCCAGTGGAAGGGAAAAAGAGGGTTATTTTCACTATCAAAGAAAAAATTCCTACCTATAGGGTGGACGGTTACTTTGAAGTAACCGGTCTTAAAACCTTTGAAAGACGAAGCGTAAGGCTTAAACAATGGCAATTCTGGTTGCCTTATTAAAGATATCCACCTTGCCAAGTCAGATGGACGAGTATAGAAGAAATAAAGAAATAAGCCTACATTAGGTTCTATATAATGAAATTTACAAAGTACTCTAAAAGCTTGAATAGCCACCCACCCATTTGGATGGAGTTGTGTCGGCACTACATTTAAAACCCTCAACACTCCCATTTGGAAGTCATCAAAAGGCAATTTTACACCTAGTTCTCTAAACATATATTCATAGATAAAGAAGGTGTCGGCCATTCTGGCACCTCCTAGAAAAACAAATTCAGGGTCTCCAGTTTCATCTCCTCGACAAGGATCAATCGATATGGGGTAAGGATTGGACAGTTCCCACAATGAAATGTCAACATGATCAACAAAAGATTGGAGAATCTTATTTCTTTTATACTGAGAGAAGTAGGCAGCTACTTCACCGTGTACCCACTCGTATCCAGGAACTGTACAGGGAGGAAATACTGGTCTTTCCCTAGGAGGGCTCATGCTCGGTAATGGTTCAAAAGAATCAGAATCAGTGGACTCTGACGACTCAGCTTCGTCGTTGCATTCCCTAAAGCGAATCTTTACATCTTCATGAACCCTACTCGATCTTGAACCAAATTCTATCCCCCCTTCGGTTCTCTCAGCATGTTGAGTATCAGCACTAGTCGGCATAGATGATTCTGACAACGAGTCCTCTCATTCTAAGGATCCGGCCATGATAAAAATAAGGAAAGAAGAAAACAAAGCCTACCTCACAGTAGTCGGTTCGGAAGAAAGAGAAAGTTTGAATACCCTTCAGTTTGGAGCGATAGTATATACTTTTCGGCTCAGAGAAAAACTAGAGAACAAAATACCTAGACCACCATGTATTTATAAAGGGTCCTTGGGCATGTGAAGAGTCACATCCCTTCCTGACTGACAGATCTATCCTAGATCAAACGGTTAAGATTGAGCACCCTTTCATTTCGCACACACATCGAGGAAATACTAAAAAACCTGAAGTTCTAGAATAATATTTTTCATTATTTATTATTTATTTTTACGAATTTTTAACTATTCTTTATTTTTTACTTCTTCGGTCTACATCACTTTTGAAAAACCAAATCCTCCTTCAGTATGCATTCTAAAATATCATACTTTTTAACTGAATACCCTATTCGGCTTGATTACATTCCTAAAGACCGAATACCCCCCTCAATATTCCTAACCACCCACTAAACCGAGTACCCTCTCATTTATATGTGCTTGATACTTGTCTATTTTCTAGCCCTGACATCGTACCTTTTCGGGCTTGGGGGCTAGTGTACTGGATAGGGAACTGCTCGGTCCTACATATAGAAAAAGGAAACCGAGTACCTACTCGGCCCAGTTTGGCCGAATACCTCGTCAGGATTTAAAGGTAATTAACCTAATTAAGGATAATAATCAAAACATTATTTACTTTAAGAAAAGGGCCAAAATCAAATATGACTCAGCAGGCCCATTAGCCCATTATAATGCCTATAAAAGGAAGGTAGGAAGTACAGGTAAAGAGTTGACTTTTCATTATTAAATACCATTTATTACTCAGAACCGAATCCTGACTTCAGCATCGAAGTGCCTTTTGCAGGTATCCTCCCCACGTTAGCGACAGTTAGAAGGACGTCATTATTTCAGAGCAAAAATTTGAAGATTAGTGTTTCTCTAGCAGGAACACAGATCATCAAGGACAAGCAGAAGTTTTTTATCTTGTAAGACGAATAACATCTGGATTAGTACTACAACATTCGTGAGAGAACAATTTTCCTTGTGACCCTGGAAGCATCAAAATCGTCTGATACTCAAGCCCAAGCTTTCAATTCAAATTCTTTCTGCACTTTATTATGTAAAGGAGTTGGGCAAGGGTTGTTTTGCCCAGACCTCCCATGCCTAGTATTGTAATCACTCTTACGTTGTTAGGCATAGTATCATCATTGGATAGAAGCATTTTAAATAGCTCCTTTTTATCATCTTCTCTTGCAACCACAACAGATTCAACCAATGAATCTGTATATTTTGTGTAAACAACTCTCCCAGTGACACTTTGCAAGCCAAGAATATCTTTTTGGTTTAGAAAATGTCCTAAGCTTTCAGATAAGTTTTCAATCTTTGAATTCATCCCCCACTAAGGAGAAGAAAAGAATGATATCACCTGGGTTGTAAGGTTTTGAGGCCCTCCCTCCGCCTTGCACCTTAGGATGTCTGCGTTGATTTCATCCAACAAATCCTCTGCATCCAAGACAACATCCTTCAACTTATCAAGCCATTTTTTCACTGCAGGATCAGTTATCTGCTTCTCCTCAGCATCGTTGAGCACGGCATTGAGTGCTAACAACTTTGTCTCAAGCTCATTCAAGACAGAAACTTTTAGCTTTCTTCTCCCCATGAATTCACGTAAATCACTGGAGGTTATCCAGTCTAATAAGATCTTCACAGAGCCAGAGATAAAAGCCTGTGCCACCATATTTTTGGCTATATCTTCTTTCGTATTGTTCTTTCTGTTAGACAGACCAAGATAGAATACAGAAGCTGTTTTGTTGTCAGAACTTGAAATTATGGCTAAATGCTAGACGAGATTGAAACTAGTACTGTAGATAGTTGACATTCTTCCGACGTATTTTAATGTTAAAATCAAGGCATTGTTTTAAATTTTAATATTCAAATGTGAAAGCGCGTATAGCAGCAACTTATTTCATGACATTCTTCCTTTTATGCAAGTCTCCACATATCTATTGTTGCAGAAAAAGGTCTCAGCATGCAACAATATTCTTATTTATTGATTAAAACTTATTTAAAATTATAAAATGATGAACAAATCTTGTTTAGTTAGGATATCACAAAGTTGTTATTGAGAATTTACGTTGAAAAAGGTTTTGGTATTTTAAGAATCTTGGCGGTTAAAACATAGTGTGTCAAGTCCAGTTTAATTAGTTACTGTCTTCGTTAAATTTGAAAACACATATAATTTGACTATTGTTTTTCAAAGACAAATTAATAAAACTACTCAATGGAAAGGAAAAAAAACAGGAACTTTCATATTCTGCATTTTCTCCACGTACGTTATGAATTTTTGATTTTACATTTTTGAAGTTTTGTCTAAATAACACTTGAGAAATTGTTTAAAAACATTAACAATTGGTAATTTTTTATTAGATTGTTTCTGTCATGATTTGGGATTTGACTCTGGATCGGCACACGGGCTATCTTATCTAAAAATATCATTTAACTTAATAAGTTTGTTTTAAAATAAACATATGATTTAGCAAATAAACAAAATAAACATATGAAATTAGAAAAATAAAATAAAATAAAATAAATAAACATATGAAACTATAAACATTTCTAAAGAAGTGATATGATAAATTTGTGTAAATTTTTACAAAATTTTCCTATAATTTCATCATCCTAAAAATGTAATAACCCGCAGGAATCAGTTTATAGTTTCATCATCTAAACTGGGCCTAAAAACTATTGCCAAATGCTAGACGAGATTGAGACTAGTACTGTAGATAGTTCACATTTTTCCAACGTATTTTATTGTTAAAATCAAGTCATTGTTTCAAATTTTATATTTATGTGTGAAAATGCGTGAAGCACCAACTTTTTTCATTATTATATAAATGTTAATTTTGGCCATTACGCAAACCATTTCGATGTGCCAAATAAAAATGATGGGTATTTCTTGTATAACTTTAATCCCAAAGTTGAGTAATATCGTTGGCATTATATATATTTGCTAATGGCATATATAATTTAATAGACTTAGAAAACTACTCAAAGATTTGGACAACCATATTGATATTTTTACTTAATTAACTGACGGGGACTCTCGAAATAAAGTTCTATGAAGATTATAATGCGATAATAAAATGATGTTATATTTTGATTTTTTTTCCCTTGACTTTCTTCCTTTCTTAAGCATGTGTTCATGTATTCATTCTTACAAGAAAATGCTAACAGAGTACTCTTTTCAATACACTATTAAAAATTACAAAATCACGGGTGAGACTTATTTATTTAGGATAAAATAAAATTGGTAAGGAGAATTTACACTAAAAGGGTTTTATATTTAAGAATCTTGGTGGTTAGAAGCTGTGTCAGGTCCAGCTTAATTCGTTATTGTGTAAAGTTGATTAAATTTAAAAAGCACATAATCGCAATTGGACTACTATTTTTCAAAAGCAAATTAATAAAACTACTCACTGAAAACAGAAAAACGTGTAAAGAAGAGAAACTATTTAAAAACACTAACAATTGGTATTTGGTAAAATTTATGGTAATCTCATTGTTGAGGGGCATACAAGCCCTGCCTAAATATATAAATTTAAAATTATATTTAAAAAAAAAAAAACATATTTGCTCATTAATCTTTAAAGATATTTATATATAATTGTTAAATAATTCTTTAATTTAAGATTTAAAAATTAATATTATTGATGAGCTTCTCTTATTTGGATCTCAAATCAAATTTAACAATATAAATTTTATCTTCATCTTTACCTGCAATTTTGAATTTAATATTAGTTCATGATTATTTTCAGACTCCTTATATTTTTTTGGTGGTGTGATGAACTCTAAATCATATAATGCAGAATTGTGACTCTAATCAATAAATCACCATCTTTTGTTTGTGAATCTCTCTTAGGTAATTTGTGAATTTGTGTTTTCATTTCAAAATTTATATCATTATTGAACTTCGTTTTTCTTTTAATTTTTTCACACACTTATACGGATGTATATCAATTCTTTTTTTAATTTTTCCCCATTTGATTATACTCTGAAGCGACAGTCCCATTCTTGCTTGATTAAAAAAATTTTGCATTTTTCCTTTGAGGTTTCAAAGTTTCTTCCTTATATTGTTTTCTGTACAAAACTATGCATTTTTATAGTTATATATACTTTTAATCGTGCACTTCACGATCATAATAGAAAGATGACAGCAAAAGATATAAATAAATTTATACCCTGATAGATGGAAAGCTGTAAATAGTTATATATACTTTTAATCATGTACTTCATGATCATGATAGAAAGATGATAGTAAAAGGTATAAATAAATTTATACCCGATGGATGAACAGTTGTAAACATAAAGTAACATTAGCTTATATTAGCTTTTGTTTGGTGAGTAGGTCCCCATGCGTCATTTGAAGGGAGAAAGAGGTAGCGTCCCAGATGGTGAAAGACAATATCTTTCTTAAGAAACATTTTGCTTAACTCTTTGTTGAAGGATGGAACCATGTAAAAAGAAGGTACAAAATATTAATTTGAATAAAAATAAGAGAGGAACTTCTTTTATAAGGTTGGGTATCATCACATCAAATAAATCTTTCATGATCTTTAAGGGTATATCTTATCTTCAAACTTAGAGCTGATGGTAAAATCTCCTTTGAACTGTTTTCTTGCGTTTTTTTAACATGCTTTCATAAGATCCAACATGTCCTTTGTTGTTACAAAACAACAAAAGGGAAGTCCTTGGATAATATTTATGATGAATTAGGAAATGGTTCATAAAATAAACCAACTAAATTTCACAAGTAGGACTCGATCTGTTAGCATTGCATAGAGGAATAATGAAACCATGCTCAACCAAAAGGAAAAAAACGAGACAATTATCTATGTTCAAAATGGTTCAATATGGAGAATTTAGACATGCTGGATGAATTAAGGTCAACTATATTGTAATTAAGGTTAGAGAGTTGCCAACGTACTAAGGTTGGAGCCAAACATCTCCAAACTCCAAATCCATATACTAAGACAGTATACGTGACACAACACGTAAAGCAACAATAGAGCACCTCCACACAACCAGAAAGCTATCATACTTGTAACTAACATATAAGTCAATTAAAAATAACAAATAGAAAGACTAAAAAAAAACATCAGTAATAGATTCCTACAATTACATCATTGATGTATGATTTCAATATTTTCCCTTAATGCATTCATGCTTCCAATTATGGTATAGAGGCTATACACCTAAAGTTTGTATCAAACAACAAATAATTTGCACCTGCATGTTACAATTAACAAAGAAAGTAATAATGTTAAAATTGCACACAACTTTCCCTCCCCCAACAAGCGAATTATTTATTGCAAGAAAGATAACAATCATGACAAAGTTAAGCATGAAAAACCAAAGAGTAAAAGGAATGAGCTGCTAACTAATAAATATATGGTAGGAGTAGGAGGGCTTGTTATAAGTAGGAAGGAATTGTCTCGATGTTATTAGCGGATGGATGAAGAACTGGGTTTATAAATTTTTGTTATGAATGGATTTTTTTTCAATTCAAGAACTGTGTTTTAATTGATAGAGGGAGCTTATTTCCTGTACAAGCAAACAAGATTTAATTTAGTGTCATCTCTAAACACTCTCTCCTTGTATGTTTAGAAAAATGTACATCATAATAGTTTTCAATAATGCTACTTTGAAATTCAATGTGCTGCTCAAGGTTCAATGCCAGATACTATTTTCATTTCTCATCATTCTATTTGGGGTACAAAGCAAACACTAAAAGTTATTTGTTATTTTGAAATTAGTTCCTATGCTTCTTTAACTTATATATCATCACAATTATGCTATTGTGTATAGAGATTTATATCAAACTAAAATTTTTGGATAAATTATGGAATTCAACCACTCAGATATGATGGCCAAAGGAAAGTGAAAAATGTGATTTAAATTTGTTCAAGATGATTTAGATACTACATTAAGTAAACTAATTTCTCAATTAGGTATGAGATTTTGCTTAAGCTAAGAGATTCTTCCCAAAGCTAATTTTCCCTTTTCTTCTTCTTTTGCTATAAAGTTTATTTGGCAAACTTTTTCAAACATTTGCCTTCAAAGAATGGTGGGTTTTATTTTTATTTTTATATCTCTAACTCTAAAGATCAGGGAAGATGACCTAATTAAAGGTCCGTTTTTTGAAGCCTTGACTTCATGTTTGAGATATTTAACCCTCAATGATACTGTTGATGATGTTACCAAAGATGTTTTAGCCTTTGTAGTAACTTGGGGGCTAAGTTCAAAAATTCTTTCAACAACTTCCATTATGTAAGTAGCATTATTTGTTGAAACAAAACTAAGACTCTTAATAGGGGACTACAGTACTATTTGTATAATGACAAATTATGTTAAACTTTGTTAGTGAATTTTTCAATTAGATAATATGAATTTTGCATATATTTCTTTATCTAGTTTATGAGTGTATATATGTTGAGTCCTTTGTCCATTTTGTTGCTGCTCCTACAAATCATGTGTACATGTTTGCAACTTGACTTATAAGTACTGCAAAAGGAACCTTTCTAAATTCTAGTTGTGTTATTGTTCGTCTTTTCTTCATTCTCTGTTTATTCTTTGAGCATATCATCATATCACCTTTATACTCTAAAATTTATAAAATACCAATATTGAATATATCATTGTCAAGGATAAGAAAGCAATAAGACATGTTATGCTATTTACCCAAAAAGAAAAAAGTCAACCAAAATAGAAGACC